CAACAGTACTAGTCAATAGTACTAGCTAGTAGCAATAGCTAATTGTACTAGCCAACACTGAAAGCATGATTGTCCGGAATCCTTCAGCCGACCTGCAGTGGCAAGCGCAAAGCCCTGGCCCTCCACGTGCAACGAACATCTGTCCCAAAACGAGGTGGGAGTGTCAGGAAATAGTGGGCCCCAACAGTGTCCCTATCGTTGAGAAGCAGGATCCTTGTTGTAAGTTCCATGTCCTTCCAAACTGCACGGGATGTCTCATCCGTGCTTGTCGGGGAGCAGCGCTGGGAAGATCTCGCGTCGCAGGGCGCGAATCGCGAAGCGAGACGCAGAACGGTGCTTCGGAACTGGATCCTGGAGCGCCTCTCCAGTCTGACACTAGGCAGGCCACTGGGATATGCTATGATTTTTGCTGGCTTTAGGAGGATCTTAGTCAGGAGTAGATTCGTCAGTTGTCTAGAGACCCACGCCAGGATATGGTTTGCAATGCTTTCTGCTGTGTTCATGCCTCATGTCGTCGGCCTACTGTTGGTAGCGGCGATTTTCGTGGCCAAGTCCTGTGACATGATCAGTGGCCAGAATGTCGGCGATGCGATCCAGGACCGTTCTTCGACCACTTCGACGATGCGTGTGACCAGCCTCTGGGCCTGCTGGCCGAGATCTTTTGGATTGTCATGCTGACCAAACTGGGCTTCTTTCAAATCTGGAAATGGGCACAGGACTTCAACTGTGAATGCTCGTGCTTGGGCTCCGTTTTCTTTTATCTGATTCTGTCCCCTGCAGTTGCTTTCGAACTGATTTGGCCGATCTGGACTTTGGTGTGCCTCTGCATCTCCTCAGCGACGGGGAAGTGCTCCAAGGAACGAAGTTGGGTTGCTGGCTGTTGCTGGCACCTTACTTCCTGCAAATCTCTGGCATCTTTTTGTACATCATCTGGCAGTGTATGAAGCCCGTTTTATATCGAACAAGAATCATCCCGGACCCTGGCAACCTCCCAAGGGAGTTCCAGCACATCACCTTTCGGCCGGAGGACTTTGTTGCAGGTGAGGGTGGCTACCCGGCGAGCTGCTCCATCTGCTTGGTGGACTTCTCGGCCGACGACACGGACATCGTGGTGACACCGTGCAGTGGGCAAAAGCATGTTTTCCACAGGGCTTGCCTGGCAACGTGGTTCCGCACAGCCCAAACTTGTCCCTTTGCCGCACAGCCCTTGGCGGTGCAGGCGACACTGACGCGCAGAGCGCTCTTGAACTGGCGTCTAACGAGGCTTCGCAGCCCTGAGGGCCGAATTGATTCCGCGGCGACGCTCAAAGCTTTGGTTTCAAGTCTAGGACTTCGCAGGGAGCAGGAGGTTCAGGGTCTAGGCTCAATGAACTGTGTCCCTACATTGCAATATCATGTGAATTCCCAATGTCTTGGACAAAGCCGCAACAGGACGGTCAATCTGGTAGAAAGAAACGAGACCTTTTCCAGACCTTCACGAAGCTTAGCTCCGCTCAGATTTTCTGGCTTTTCCAAGAACCGGCAAACTGTTCACAGGAAACTCCAAATCATTGCTTCCTTAGCTGCTTGGGCTCGGAAGCACTCTAGCAGTCTTCTGGATCAGAATTTGATCAAACCCCAACCGTCCTAAGCCCCCAAAGTGTGGAGCTTCGTTTCACTTTCGGATCATTGAGCCCAGCTTGAGAGCCCAAGACTTATGGGGCCAACGAGTCCTGCCTTCCCACCGAATCGCTTCGCTTGCAGTGTCCGGGTTCCCCAACCCTTCAACTCCAACCCCACCACCGCAGGAGAACTTCCGGGAGTCCTCCCGGGTCATTTTGCATTTTGATAGTCTGCGCTTTCCACATGCTACGCAGTGCAGACATGCGTCGTCCTCAGAATGTGTTAGTGCTTCAGGGGTTTCCGCTGACCCATTATGAGCAGAACTGGGGTTTGTTGTCTTATTCTTATCCGGGGCGAGCGTTTTTGTTGGCTGCACAAGGACAGTAACTAACAAAATAACTGGCAAGCTTGCCAACCAGCCAACTAGCAAGCTAGCTAGCGAGCTGACTGGTGGCTGACTGGCTGACTGACTGCTTGCCTGACTGATTGACTGACTAAGGGCATGAATGCTACAGTTGATAAAAGATATATAAACCAACACAGGCTTATAAACACGTCTCCAAGAGGCGTGGTCATCAGTGTCTGCTGTTCGGGCTGGGTTTTCGGGGTTGTATGCTAGTGACCTGCCGGGTGTGGGCGTCGGAGAGGGTTGGAAAATGTAGATAAGGGGAAGGAAGAAAACAAACGAAAGAATGAAGTGCGTGTGTGTTTCCTTTAACTTTGCCCCTTTCATCGTTGCGTTCATGTTTGGCCTAATTAAATCGCATGTCCCTTGCTTTTATTTCAGCAAAGCAAAGCGCAAGGGAGAAAAAACACCCACGAACGGCCCTTATGATTGGTAATGAGATGTGATGAACGAAGACATGAAGTGAATAATGCTTAGGAGCGGAAGCACGAATGAAATAAGAGAGCGAAATGAAGAGAAAATCACTTCTCATTCTCACTGGTGCTTGGGTTTCTTGTGTGCTTTGTGTTTCTTCCTCAAATTCGTGCACGTTTCTATTTTCCCGCTTGTAAATTAATGAAAGAAAGCAACACACAAGAGAAACAAGGGAAGTGCCGTTCCTAAATTTAATGAAGGCCAAAGGTGAAGAATGCACACTCTATTCAATTTCAAAAACGGGCCTTTTCCACATGGGCACCAGGTTTCGTTCATATGTGGTGCATGTTATTTAAAATACACCACGCATGCCTTTGTCCTTATTCAATTAACACAGCACCACAGTTTTCACTTCATATTATAAGGGTCGTGTACGTGTGCTTCTTTCGCTTAATTTACTCTTTTGTGCCTTTACCCCCGCGTTCCTTGTGCTCAGCGACCAACAGATAAACTAAATGTAGCGCACGCCCGCTTCATCCTTTTCACCTCAAAATACAGGTCTTGGGGAACGAAGAAGTATGTAGTATGTATGTATGCGTGTATGTGGTGTGTGTGTGTTGTATGTATGTATGTATGTATGTATGTATGTATGTATGTATGTATGTATATATGTACGTATGTACGTATGTATGTATGTATGTATGTATGTATGTATGTACGTCTGTATGCATGCATAAATGTAGACACGGACACAAACAAGCACACACACATACATATGTATATATATATATGTGTGTGTATGTATATATATATACATATATATATATATGTATACATATGCTACATATATATATATAGACATACACATATATATATATATACAAATGAATAAATAAATAAAACAAATAATACATACACATATAGATTAATAGTAATATTAATGTTAATGTTAATATTAATATGAATATTATTAGTAACATGCGCAAACGCAAATATACATATATATATATATGCTACNNATGTACCTACCTTTTTGTGTTCTTTAAATGCATTTTTCCGTGTCAACCCCTTGCGAAGGCTTTAGAACACGACAATACAGGACATGAAGTAATGACTGGAATCGCAAGCAGAGGAAGTCTTGTCTACTTTGGAAAGACGATCAGGACCCCAAAGCACGAAAGATGCCGTAGCTTGAGCCGGGCGGGGGAGCTTCGGGGTTCCCGCGGTTAGGCTTGCTCGCGGGAGCAAAGTGTCTCTTTGCCCAGGGCCTGAACCGCCTCCCTCTTGGTTCAGGGTTTTTGGCTCGGGGTTTCGGCTTTCAGGCTTAGGGCATTTAGTGTGTTTAGGCTGTGGTTGAGGTGTCTATAGGGCGGAGCACGCTTAGGATTTGCAACTGTATCCTCTGTGTCACAACTATCAGGGACACCCATGAAGCTTCCGTGCGCCCCTCAATGAGGTTTCCGTGCTCGAGACGAAATAACGACAAGAATAATCATAATCATAACTACGGTAAGGATAGTCATATTAGTAATAACAGTAGTAACAAATTGTAAGAGTCAGAACAACAAAAGCTTTTGTGGCTCACCCTTGCGGAAGTGCGTGCACGCAAGATTCAGCGACGCGGACGGACCAAAGAATTCGGAAAAGCTGCTTGCTGACTTCGGAGGCGCATCGGCCCCTTAAAAGGCAGAAACAAAGACCAATTAGGCTTATGCCTTAGGGTTGACTCAAACCTGAGCCGAGACTAAACCTGAAGCTTGGAACACTTGATGTCTAGTAGCCCAGCCGGCGGTCCCAAACAGGCCAGAAGCCGAAGAGCCCCTGATCCGAGTGCACCTGAGCCTGCCAGGAGGTCTTGGCGCTACTCAAACTTTCGGGCTTCAGGGGTTCGCACGTGGCTTTGGAGCACCGGGGATCCATTCAGGATTCAACTCCGTGAAGCTTGCAAGCCTCCCGCAATCGGGGCTGAGGAGCAGAACGCAAGAGAAATGGAAGGACAAGGATGCCTGCAGATGATGGTAGGTGTGGTGCTTGTGACGATGATGACGGTGGTAGTGGTGGGGGAAGCAGTGAATTGAGCACCGAAGGCCTCGTCGTGAACCGTGAACCCTCCCCAGACTCGACTGATTTCGACAGCAGCAAAGCTTTGACGAGCAGCCTCTACACACCGCTTTGGCATTGGCTCCAACTTCGTCCGATGGATTAGCGGGTCGAAGTCGCCAGAACAGAGCCACCAGTTCCCGATGCCTGGGCTTAGGGCTAAGAGAGGATCATCATGGCTGGGTGAGCTTGTAGATCATTGGGAGTTTGCCGGATGTTTCTGCATCCGGCCTTCGTGCACCACCGAAGTCATCCCGTGTAGCCTAGAACCAAGCCCCAGAGTCATCCATAGCTCGACCCAGTAGCCATAGTGGCCCTGTGGGATGACGAGGGGACAGGATTGCAGAGAGCACCTCCGAAACGGGATTTGTAGAAGCGACTCAAGACAAAAATGAGCCACGGCAAGCAACCAGTGCTCATGACAGCTGTTCCCATCGACTCCGACATCCGAAATGCCACCTTGCAGGCATGTGATCTTGCTCCATGATGGAAACCGTCTCGTTCGTAAGGAGCTGCCCGCCAAAGTACTGCATCATGAACCTTAGCTTCATGGCTTCAGAGCTGAGGGCGTTTAGAGTGTGCTAGGCAGGCAGAATCCCAGGTCTGCAGTGCCGGCCACTTGGGGCAACCACAAATCAGGAAACTTAAACTGGCTTGTCCGACGTAGAGCCCTTTAGATTCGCTCCTCAGCGGCGTGGAACCTGGTCTTCTTTATCAAGACTCAGACCCGGCTGAAGGGCTTAAGGTGTTTTAGCGGAACTCCCAACACGCACAAGAAACAAAACCTTAGAAGAACCCTTAAAGTTGGACTAGGGCTTTGTCTACGCGAAGGATGTGTGTGTGCGTGCGTGCGTGCGTCCGTGCGT